TCCAGACACCCATCCACCCGTCCATCCATCCAGACACCCATCCACCCGTCCATCCATCCAGACACTCATCCACCCGTCCATTCATCCAGACACCCATCCACCCGTCCATCCATCCAGACACCCATCCACCCGTCCATCCATCCAGGCACCCATCCACCCGTCCATCCATCCAGGCACCCATCCACCCGTCCATCCATCCAGACACCCATCCACCCGTCCATCCATCCAGACACTCATCCACCCGTCCATTCATCCAGACACCCATCCACCCGTCCATCCATCCAGGCACCCATCCACCCGTCCATCCATCCAGGCACCCATCCACCCGTCCATCCATCCAGACACCCATCCACTCACCCATCCATCCAGACACCCATCCACCCGTCCATCCATCCACCCATCCACTCACCCATCCACCCACCCCTCCACCCATCCATCCACCCACCTACCCATCCACCCACCCATCCATGCATCAACCCATCCACTCACCCATCCACCCACCCCTCCACCCACCTACCCATCCACCCACCCATCCATGCATCAACCCATCCACTCACCCATCCACCCACCCCTCCACCCACCCATCCACCCACCCCCCCCACCCACCCACCCCTCCACCCATCCACCCACCCACCCAGTGCAATGAGATGCAGCAGCGATGTTCAAGCGACATCCGCTCTGGGCGCGCGTGCGACTGAAGGCGCCCGGGCGGACTCCTAGAACACCGCAGCAGCAGCAGCAGTGCGAGAGGCGTTCATCCAGCAGTGGATTTGACCACAGCTGCTGGATAGCGGCGTGAGCCACGAGGCGCAGGCACCGGTTAGCCCCACGTGGTTCCCGGCCATGGTGGGGGGGTCACGGGGGTATGTCACGTGATCGTGATGACCGTCATACTGACCCTCATTACGGATCAGGGTTCACCTGCTCAGCTCCATTACCGATGGCACGCGGCTCTGAGTCGTTCTCCACGTGACTCTCAATGCCCCCCTCCACCACCAGCCCCCCCCCCCCTCCTCTCCCGGTTACCCCGACTCATGTGACAGCCAGCAGAACATGTGTGCTACGTGCGGTGCGAAAGAAGTTCAACGCGTATACACATATATACATACACACACATAGTACACACACACACATAGTACACAGACACACACATAGTACACACACAGACACACATAGTACACACACAGACACACATAGTACACACACCTAGTACACACACAGACACACATAGTACACACACCTAGTACACACACACCTAGTACACACACACCTAGTACACACACACACCTAGTACACACACACAGTACACACACACACACACCTAGTACACACACACATAGTACACACACACACACACCTAGTACACACACATAGTACACACACACATAGTACACACACACATAGTACACACACCAAGTACACACACATAGTACACACACATAGTACACACACAGACACACATAGTACACACACACCTAGTATACACACATAGTACACACACAGTACACACACACATAGTACACACACATATATACATACACGCACATAGTACACACACAGACACACATAGTACACACACCTAGTACATACACACACCTAGTACACACACCTAGTACACACACACCTAGTACACACACACACCTAGTACATACACACAGTACACACACACATAGTACAGACACACAGATAGTACACACACCAAGTACACACACATAGTACACACACACATCCCCTCATGGCGTCTGTGACCACCACAGTGGCTAAACGGGGGCTCTGGATGGGTACAAGGGGCTGGTAACCCCTCCACCTTCAAAAAATTACCACGAAACCTCGACTTAAATATATAACTAATAAGCTTGTGCTGGAGGCCCCGGGGGAACAGGCGTCTATGGCGTCTCCTGGCCAAACCCCAGTTGGCGGAGCCAGGAGATTGAATCTCTACCGTAGGGCTCCTCCAGAAACAACGAAAAGCCACTTCGTGTGGCCACGTGGAATGTTCGAACGCTTATTGCGGAAGAGAGGCTGTCACTCCTCTGTCCGGAGGTGGACTGCTACCGCCTGGATCTCTGTGGCATTCAGGAGGTCCGGTGGACCGGTTCTGGCTCCTGCCACCATGAGGGGTGGACAGTCCTCTACTCGGGGCAGCAGACTGCCAAAAAACAGGGTGTAGCTCTTCTTTTGAACAAAAGAATGAAGGGTGCGCTGGAGCATGGCGGTGAGGTGTGGGAAGCTGTATGCCCCAGGCTACTTTGGGCTTACCTTTTCATCAACCGGAGGCGAGGAGTGGTGGTCGTGGTTACTTATGCCCCCACCGAAGATGAACATCCGTGGAGGGATGCAGGCAAAGTCGATGAGTCAGATGCCTTCTATGACCTCCTGTCACAGGTGCTGGCTAAAGTGGCCCTTCGGGATAGAGTAATCATGTTGAGTGACTTCAATGCCCGAGTTGGTCATGATGCTGGCACCTGGTCTGGAGTGATTGTAGGGCATGGGCCAGATCAGCTCAATAACAACGGTAGGAGGCTGCTAGATTTTTGTGCAGCCCATGGGCTTGTAATTACCAACACACTGTTCCGGCATCGGCGCATCCACACAACATCATGGATGTATGCCGGGTCCAAACAAGAACATCTGCTGGACTACATAGTGACGGACCAGCGGATGCGAGCCCATGTCCTTGACACCAGGACATACCGTGGAGCTGATCTGCCCTCTGACCATCGACTTGTCATCTGTAAGATGCGCCTGCCATTCTTCCGCTCCGGTGGTGGGTGTACACCCAGGACCCCATTCCAACCTAAAGTGGCCTGGTCTCAGTTCTCTGATGAAAGTTGCAAGCAAGAATTTCATCATCGCTTGTGGCTGGGATTGACCAGGTGGTGACCATCAGGCTAACTACACTAGTTACTACACTAGTTACTACACTAGTTACTACACTAGTTACTACATTAGTCACCCGCACTCCCGATGAGTCAGATGCCGTCTATGACCTCCTGTCACAGGTGGGAGTGCGGGTGACTGAGTGGGTGAGGTGAGCTGAGGTGTGCCGACCTTCACGCCAATCGGCGCGGGTTTGGTAAAGGTGGTGGGAGCATGGACATGTAGGCCGCAGTACAGTACAACGACGGATTTTTTTTTGTTAGCTGCACTGCCCCGAAAGATATCGTCAGACCGCTTCAAACAGATAAATCCTGGCGATACACTCGTAAATGTCTTCATCAGTACAAAATAAAAAATAACCACACTCTGACAGCTTGGCAGAGAGACTGGACACACCCAGCAGCCTCCTTGCGGTCGTCAGTGGGTGAGTGGGTAGGTGGGTGAGTGGGTAGGTGGGTGAGTGGGTAGGTGGGTAGGTGGGTGAGTGGGTATGTGGGTGAGTGGGTAGGTGGGTGAGTGGGTAGGTGGGTGAGTGGGTAGGTGGGTGAGTGAGTAGGTGGGTGAGTGGGTAGGTGGGTGAGTGGGTAGGTGGGTGAGTGGGTAGGTGGGTGAGTGGGTGAGTGGATAGGTGGGTGAGTGGGTAGGTGGGTGAGTGGGTAGGTGGGTAGGTGGGCGAGTGGGTAGGTGGGTAGGTGGGTGAGTGGGTAGGTGGGTAGGTGGGTGAGTGGGTAGGTGGGTGAGTGGGTAGGTGGGTGAGTGGGTGAGTGGGTAGGTGGGTGAGTGGGTGGGTGAGTGGGTGAGTGGGTAGGTGGGTGAGTGGGTGAGTGGGTAGGTGGGTGAGTGGGTAGGTGGGTAGGTGGGTGAGTGGGTAGGTGGGTAGGTGGGTAGGTGGGTGAGTGGGTAGGTGGGTGAGTGGGTAGGTGGGTAGGTGGGTAGGTGGGTGAGTGGGTAGGTGGGTAGGTGGGTGAGTGGGTGAGTGGGTAGGTGGGTAGGTGGGCGAGTGGGTAGGTGGGTAGGTGGGTGAGTGGGTGAGTGGGTAGGTGGTTAGGTGGGTAAGTGGTTGAGTGGGTAGGTGTGTGAGTGGGTGAGTGGGTAGGTGGGTAGGTGGGTGAGTGGGTGAGTGGGTAGGTGGGTAGGTGGGTGAGTGGGTGAGTGGGTAGGTGGGTAAGTGGGTGAGTGGGTAGGTGGGTAGGTGGGTGAGTGGGTGAGTGGGTAGGTGGGTGAGTGGGTGAGTGGGTGAGTGGGTAGGTGGGTAGGTGGGTGAGTGGGTGAGTGGGTAGGTGGGTAGGTGGGTGAGTGAGTGAGTGGAAGGTGAGTGGGTGGATGAGCAGGTGAGTGGATGCGTGGGTGGGTGAGTGGGTGGGTGAGTTGCTGGATGAGCGGGTGAGTGGGTGGGTGGGTGAGTGGGTGGGTGGATGAGTGGGTCTATGGGTGGATGTGTGGGTGCGTGGGTGAGTGGGTGGGTGAGTGTGTGGATGAGTGGGTGAGTTAGTGGGTGGGTGAGTGTGAAAGTGAGATAGTAGGTGAGTGGGAGAGGAGGTGAGTGAATTAGTAAGTAGGCGAGGAAGTGGGTGTCGGTGAGTGAGTGGGTGAGCGAGTGGGTGGGTGATTGATTGAGTAGGTCGGTGAGTGGGTGAGCGAGTGGGTGCGTGAATAAGTAAGAGAGTGGGTGAATGAACATGTGAGTGAGTGATTGGGTGAGTCGGTGAGTGAGTGGGAGAGGTGAGTCGTTGACTGAGTGGGTGCGTAAGAATGTGGCTGATTGAATTCGTAGGTGAGTTACCCACCCACCTACTCACTCACCAACCCACTCACACTTTCACCAGCTCACTCACCCAACTACTCACTCACCCACCTACTCACTCATCCAGCTACTCACGCAGCAACCCACTCACTCACTTACATCACTCACACGTCCGGGGGTCGCGGGGTGAGTGGGGGCTCACACGTGATTACAAACGGATGAACAGCTCTGCACGTGTATACGCTTCTTCACCTGTTGATTTCTTACAACCCTCAAGCGGTTTCGTTGCCACAACAGGCAAACTACGGCTGTGAACCTTCCACCACCACCACCACGACACCACCACGGGCACCACCACGGGCACCACCACGGGCACATGTCGAGACAGAGCGAGCGCCACGGTGAACGCTCGATGCCCAGACACGCGTCATTACGCAATCGTCGAGTCCATAGACAGCACTCCCGGCGACTGCGGCTCGCTCTCTCTCTCTCCCTCTCATTCTCTCCTCCAGTCCTCCCGGGACCGTAAGAAATCGCACTCACTCACGAATCTTCATGACACGCAAGTGCGCGAAGACAAAGATCTCGCTCCGCACCCCGCGGCGGTCTGTGTAGCCCTAGCGGGCTGTTGGGGCTGTTAGTGAGGAGCGACCTAAGAAGGGCCGCGCGGTACTCCCGATTGTAAAACGGTGTGGATTTGCTCTCCAACACAACTGGTGCAGTGCTGTGCTAGTATACTACACTATACACTACACTATACACTAGTGCTGTACTAGTATACTACACTATACACTACACTATACACTAGTGCTGTACTAGTATACTACACTATACACTACACTATACACTACACTATACACTAGTGCTGTACTAGTATACTACACTATACACTACACTATACACTAGTGCTGTACTAGTATACTACACTATACACTACACTATACACTAGACTAGACACTACACTAGTGCTATACTAGTATACTACACTATACACTACACTATACACTACACTATACACTAGTGCTGTACTAGTATACTACACTACACACTAGTGCTGTACTAGTATACTCCACTACACTATACACTAGTGCTGTACTAGTATACTACACTATACACTACACACTAGTGCTGTACTAGTATACTACACTATACACTACACACTAGTGCTGTACTAGTATACTACACTATACACTACACACTAGTGCTATACTAGTATACTACACTATACACTACACACTAGTGCTGTACTAGTATACTACACTATACACTACACACTAGTGCTGTACTAGTATACTACACTATACACTACACACTAGTGCTGTACTAGTATACTACACTATACACTACACGCTAGTGCTGTACTGGTGTAGTGACATATAAAGGGTCACTACGGCGCCTAGCGCCAGTTAGTGATAGAGGGGAACTGGGAGTGTGGTAGCCCTCTTAGCCACGACGCATCACGTCGTCCTCGTCTGCGTAAGCCGAGAGCTTGACGGTCGCGTTACTCAGCGCCCGGGACCTTGAGGCCAGGCAGATTTCGTCTCAGGTGGCGTAGCAGTGGCCCAATGGACGGGGTGGTACAGCAGCCCCGAGAGGGGGCATCCCTGTCTTAGCCGCTGGTTTATCTTCAAGAGGCTGGACGTGCACCCCGTGGACAGGAACCTCACGTGCGAGATGAAGGACAGGCCGAATCCGAGCGACGTTAGGAGTTTTGTCCAGGTACTCATGGCTCACCCTGTCAAAGGAGCCGTCCATAAATGACGTCACGCACCTAGGGGGGAGGGGGTGGGGTCAGACATTTGTGACGATGTGTGACGATGGGGGGGGGGGAGGGGGGTTTGAGAAATGTGACGTCACATCAAAATGCGCAACTTTAAATAAATATAGACAACACGTTCTACTTAATTAAGTAGACTTTTAATAAATATCTTCTCCTACAGAGTGCAGCGCCACATGAAATACGCACTACAATGACAATAGTGTGAAGCGATTTGAAACATGTTTTATTTGGGGGGGGGGGGGGCAGAGCTTTGTGACGTCATTTTTGACGAAGGGGGGGAGGTCAAAAATCGTCCAAAATCGCGTGACGTCATTTATGGACGGCCCTAAAAGCCTTCTCCTGATCCACGAAGAGGAGGCCCAAGTCCACGTTGTGCGCTTCTGCAAGGGAGCTCACGTCTCTGACCATACCGATGTTATCGTAGGTGCACCGTCCGGGGAGGCAATACGACTGTTCCGGCGGGATCAGCTGACCCAGGGCCGTCTTGAGACGATTTGCCAGCGCCTTGGAGAAGATTTTGTAGAGAGGGACACGGATCGCCAATTCACGAGGAGGCGCAGGTCCCCCTTCTTGGGTAGCAGGGAGACCACCGCTCTGCCGCAGCTATGTGGGAGTTCCCCCTTCTGCAGGCCTCTCCGTCAACAATTTCAGTGGTGGAGGGCCGAGCTCATCCCAGAAGGCCGCGTCAAAACTCAACCAGCAGGCCGTCAATCCCCGGGGCTTTAGCGGCTGCGAGCCCTTTGACAGCGGTGTGGAGCTCCTGCTGCAGG